GTATTCATATGCTTCAGACTATTGAGATCATTTGAGACTTTGGGCGTAATTGTAAAAGTGTTGGAATTACTTACCGATGGATAAATAATTTAACGGTGGTGAATTTTGGTTATAAAATTGTGGTACATAAATGATCATTGACTACTATAAATTAGTAGTTAACTATCACAATTTATAGCTAACTATTAAAATTTCATAGTTAACTTTCACTATTTTGTAGTTGACTGACACAATTTTATAGCAAACTAGAAGAATATTATAGTTGAGATCGTTCAGGACTTTGGGCGTAATTGTGAAAATGTTGGAATTACTTGTCGATGGTTGAATAATTTGAGGGTGGTGAGTTTTGGTCTTAAAATTATGGTATATAAATGATTATTGACTACTATAATTTACACTAGGCCAAAACTGCATTTTCGCGACGATTTTATAGTGACGAAAATTGATTTCTTCTCCCGCTCGCGACGATTATTGCCACCATTCGTCGCATCACAAATAACCTCCCCTTAAAAAGAAAATGCTTGCGACCAAATCATGATTTTCGTAGCAAACAAGTAAAATGTTTTTTTTTAAATATTTTTTTTTTGTTAATCGTTGCGACGATGATGTAGTAATCGTCGCGAAATTTGGTGAAAAAATAAATTTCCTCTCTTTCTACGACGATTATAAATGATTCGTCGCATTACTCTAATAATATTTATTTTAAAAAAATTATGTTTGCGACGAATAGGTAGTTTTCGTCGCAATATGCTTTGGTTTATAAAATATAACAAATTAATGCGATGAATCTTTGCAAAATAGTCGCACAGGAGTTTGACAAAGTTTAATAGGTTCTCTATTGCGACGATTAGTTAATGAATTCGTCGCAATAGTTAAATGTATTTTTATTCTCAAGTACTATTAAACTAAGCAAAGCCCTAATTTAACCTCCCTGCTCTTTTCTCTCCCTCATTGATTTTCTCTCTGTCGCCGCACTTCGCCCCCACACTTCACCGGTGCACTTCGCCCCTATGATTCGCCGTCTCTTAGCCGTTGCTTTGCCGCCACGATTCGCCGTCCCTTCGCCTCCACGGTTCGCCGCCCCTTCGCCTCCACGGTTCGCCGCCCCTTCGTCTCCATGGTTCGCCGCCGTTGCTTTGCCGCCATGATTCGCCTCCCTTCGGCTCCACGATTCGCCGCCATGATTATATCAGGTTGTCGTCGCCTCGATTGTCTTCTCCCTGGACATAGCCATCGCCCCTTTGTTCTTTTCCCCGCGGAACTATCTCTCCGTGAATGCTCTCCTCCTTCTGATTCCCTTAACTAGGTAATGAGTTCCTGAATATATAATTGATTTGTAGGTCCATTAAATCTGAAATTGAGCTTTTTCACTCATAGGGTATTGATATATATATACTTTGATAATATACAGTACACTCATAGAAATGACTAATTTGGTGGGAATTTGATTATTTTGTGTTTTAAGCTTTGATAACAGATCCTCTTATGTTAGCAAAATCATTTTTTTTTTGCAGACGAAGAGACAATGATGACAAATGAGAAGACGATCTTTTCGAGAACAGTGAACCCCAAGTCACATGTACGAGTTTTTTTGAGTAAATTTTCAGCAATATATTTATGTAATGTTTGCTTTTGTTTTTGATACTGCGTTTTAAGCTCCAAGGGATCTGCTTGAGAAGCTCTCTGGTAATTCCCTGTGGCAGACACAAAGGTTGCTAGTTCCGTGTTAAAGAAAAATGTTTAGCAGAAGGTAAATATTGCCGTAGTTTTTATGGGAGATTTTCTTTAATCATTTATCTCTTTCTCTTCAAGGGTCGGGGAGGAGGGGGGCTGGCTTGTCACTTTACTTCGCAGGGTTTATATAGTTATGCAGGTTGAGTCTGTGGTATTTGAGATATATTCTTTGGTATATTGCGCCACCTTATGATGTTTGGTATATATTGTATAAAGTGTTTGGTATATATTGCGTAGTGTTGGGAAAAAAAATTCGATATATACTTATATGTTGAAACTTTTGTTTTATATGTTGCAAGATCGGTTGGGTGTTTTGTATTGGCATAAACACTCTTTGTGTCTTCATGCTTTAGTCGTTATGGTGCTATATTTTTTGTTTAGCTTGTGCTTATTTGTATTTATGTCACGCTTATGTACGTATACATTTTTTTCAGGCACGGATGGAAATAGCTTATTAGGATCAAGTGGATAACTTCAACAAAACATTCAACTCCTTGATCGAGCATTTGAAACGACAAAGTCAAGTATTTCACCATATCAAACCACTTCTAATGAACAATGAAGAAAGTATGGATCAAATCTTTTTTTGCTATGCTAAAATATTTTTTAAGTTTTAATGTACTTTCAAATTTGTTCTAGTGTTAGTGTATTTCACATACTATTTTGATTTTAATGTGATGGAATAAATTTTAATGTGATGTGTTATTTGACCCAATAGTTAATTTCGAATTATAGTTAATTTCGAATTATTAGAATTGGTAATTAATTATTGTAAAGATAAAGAACTGGAAATCTATTACAGGTTAATTTATCATTTAATATGCAGTGCCAAAGAAAAAAAATCTAGCGACGTTTTTGTAAAAACGTTTCAAATAAGTGGATAAATTTTTGCGACGAATACTATTTTCGTCGCAGATTTGTACAAAACAATTGCGACGTTTTTTGCACAAACGTCGCAGGATGACTAGGAGATTTGCGACGATTGTCAAATTTCGAAGCTCAAAAAAATAAATTGGCAGAAACGATTTTTTGCGAAGAAACATGAAAGCGTCGCAACTTTCTGCGACTAAAATAAAATTTCGTCGCAGACTTTGCGACGGGCCGTTTGGCGACTTTTATTTGAAGCATTTGCGATGGGTTTTTTTTCGTCGCAAGTGTTGAAATTTCGTCGTCGATGCCCCTTTTTCGTCGCAATATTTCGTCGCCAGTGTTGTGTTTTGGCTAGGGGTGGAAATCGGAACGAAATTTCCGATTTCCGCCGAATCCGATCCGATTTTTTCCGATTTTGGAACGATTTTTTGTAGTCCGAATTCCGAAATTCCGATTTCCGATTTTTTTCGAAAAAATCGGATCGGAATCGGAATTGTATATGAATTATTCGGAATTTCCGAATTCCGATCCGAAAATAATTCCGAAATTTCCGATAATTTTTCCGAAATGTTCCGAATTTTTCCGAAATTTATTAATATTTCTTCATTACTAATTTACTATATTGTTTCTAGTTGGGCTTTAAAAAGCCCACTCTAGCAAGGCAGCCCAGCAAGGCAGCCCACTTTAGCAAACTTATGAGCCCAAATATTGAATATTCAGAATTTTAGGGACTAAACATTAAATACCAAAAAATTATAATAAAACCCTAATTTCTTTCTTCTTCTTCTTGCGCCGCTCATCTCCCTGCTCTGAATTTTTTTTCTTCTTTTTTTTCTTGCGCCGCTTCACATCTCCCTCCTCTGAACTTTTTTTTTTTCTTTCCACCGCCAACTCTTCTTCTCTACCATATGAGTCATAAAACTTACCATATCTTTAATCGTTGCCTTCACGATCGCGAAACAGAGGCTGGAATTGCTGCAAAATACCACAAACCTTTTTCTCTCAAGATCGCCGGAGTTGCTGCCCAAAAGCTATCGTTATTCCCTATAAATCTCCGCCGTGGCCGTTGCTTTTCTTCCGTGCTTCAGTCGTCGGGCATAGTCAACGACGTTTCCGAAAATTCCGAAATTCCGATTTTTTTTTTCGGAATCGGAATTGGAACGGGCTTTTGTATTCCGAAATATTCGGAATCGGAATCGGAAGTGATTTTTCACTTCCGAAAAAAATCGGAAATTTTCCGAAGGGGTGGATTCCGATCCGATCCGTCCGATCTCCATCCCTAGTTTTGGCCTAGTGGAATTAGTAGTTAACTATCACAATTTATAGCTAACTATTAAACTTACATAGATAACTTTCACTATTTTGTAGTTGATCGACACAATTTTATAGCAAACTAGTAGAATATTATAGTTGACTACCAAAGTCAGTAGTTAAATTCATTAATTTAGTTGTTCACTAATATTTCGTAGATCTTTTCGAACAAAAAAAAAAAGGTAAAAGTAAAAAAGGATCGAAATATAATTAAAAGGATTAAGATAATTAAAGAAGAGAGAGAGAACAAATTAGTTGACCGATCCTATTTAAAGGGAGGGGGGTCTAGTTCAAAAGAAAAATATAGGGATAATATTGGAATACATAAAATGGAAAGAGTTGCACTATATTAAAAAAATGCTTGGTACTTAATTCTAATATTTTTGCTAATGAGGGGGTTACGCCTCGTTAAAACTTTTTTTAATTCCGCAACCGGCAATGAGATTTAGACCACATCCATATATTCGTCTCATTGCATCATGACATATGGAGAGATGATTATAATCTGCCCATTTAAATGCTAACAATTGCACAAATCCAATTTCCCAACGGCAGACTAATTAACAAAGACTCTGTCAAATTGTCAATGGATACCAAACCACTGGTCTTTCTTTCTTTTTTTTCCTTACATTTTTAATTATATATTTCCCTTAAATTACTTAACAGGAAAATTTAACATCAGTATTTTTAATCAGTATTTAATATATATATATGATAAATATTATGGCTAATTGATTTGCTAATATTTTTTTCTTATCTTGGTCATGATGGGGAGTTAGATGATACACCAGTTATTTACGTCGAGTGTTTTTTTAACTATTGATGGGGTTAAATAACCATCGACCTAACACACGTACATATGGGTGCGTGATATGTGCAGACTAGGAGTTAAAAATTATTAGTTGTATTTCACCGGGTATAGCATCAAATAATCCAGTCATAACATAGATGACGAATCTATAACAACATAAGGGACGACAACTCTATATAAAGTGTTGAAACGACCATAACTAACATCAACACTCGACACAATCCACATTTCTATTTGCAACTTATTTTTTTCACAATCAAAAAAGAGGTTTAATTTGGTGTTTGTCACAAAATGGGGTTGAAGCACTTTATCACCCTCATTTGCATACTCAATCTCCATCTCTTACCCACATTTGCAGATGATACAACTAATTCAAGCACCTTAGAGACATACATAATCCATGTCGATGGAAACCTCGGTCTTTTCGATCGATTCGAAAACTTAGAGAGTTGGTACACCTCATTCTTGCCAACATCAAACTCAAACAGCCGAGGAAGAATTGTCTACTCCTACCGCAAGGTGTTCAAAGGCTTCGCCGCTCGATTATCGGCTGACGAAGTGAAAGCTATGGAGAACCACCCGGCCTTCATATCGGCTCGGCCTGAAAGAAAATTGGACAAGCACACAACCCATTCCCCAAACTTCTTGGGCTTGAACCAAAATATGGGATTTTGGCAAGGCTCAAACTATGGTAAAGGGGTTATCATAGGTGTCTTGGACACGGGAGTTCTCCCGAGTCACCCTTCGTTTAGCGACGAGGGGATGCCGCCCCCTCCCGCCAAATGGAAGGGGAAATGCGAGTTCAATCAGACGGCGTGCAATAACAAGATCATCGGCGCCAGATACTTCAACTCCTTCGACGATAGCCCGTTGGATGACGATGGGCACGGGACCCACACGGCGAGCACCGCTGCCGGAAGCTTTGTGAGAGGCGCCAACGTGTTTGGCAATGCTAACGGCACTGCCGCCGGCATCGCCCCTATGGCCCACCTAGCCATCTATAAAGTGTGCTCCTTATTTTGTTCCGAAAGCGATATACTTGCCGCAATGGATACTGCCATCGAAGATGGAGTGGATATACTTTCCCTTTCTCTTGGAGGGCTCTCTTTTAGCTTTTATGACGACAGCATCGCGTTAGGCGCGTTTAGCGCCATGGAGAATGGCATATTAGTCAGTTGCTCGGCGGGGAACGATGGTCCGTTCAACATCTCGTTGTCGAACGAAGCCCCATGGATCCTGACGGTTGGTGCTAGCACTATCGACAGAAAGATCAGGGCGACGATCTTGCTTGGAAACAACGAAACTCTCGACGGCGAATCAACTTTTCAGCCGTCGGATTTTCCACCGACATTGATGCCTCTTGTCTACGCCGGATCGCTAAACACGAGCGATCCAAATATACAATTTTGTACTCCGACATCGTTAAACAAAAGCGATCTCCGAGGAATGGTAGTAGTGTGTGAAATCGGAGTGGTGGCAAGAGTTTCCAAAGGAATAGCAGTGAAGAATGCCGGTGGATCCGCCATGATTCTCGTGAATCCTCGAATTTACGCAAATATGACCTTGGCAGAAGCCCACGTTCTTCCGGCCGCACATGTAAGCTATGCCGACGGATTGAAGATCAAGACTTACATAAACTCAACCATCACACCAACGGCCACAATACTATTCAAAGGCACTATAATTGGCGACGACCGGGCCCCAGTCGTTGCGGGTTTTTCATCCCGAGGGCCCAATTACATTAGTCCTGGTATCCTAAAGCCCGACATTTTAGGGCCTGGAGTCAACATTCTTGCGGCATGGCCGGTCTCGGTGGAGAACAACACCAACACGAATTCCACATTCAACATTATCTCCGGCACATCTATGTCGTGCCCACACCTGAGCGGCGTAGCGGCGCTGCTCAAGAGCTCGCACCCCAATTGGTCACCAGCGGCCATAAAGTCAGCCATCATGACCACTGCCGATGTCGTGAACCTAGCCCTAAACCCGATCGAGGACGAGCGCTACGTTCCGGCAAACATATTCGCCACTGGCTCGGGCCATGTGAACCCGTCCCGAGCCAACGATCCAGGGCTTGTGTACGATATCAAACCGGAAGATTACATCCCTTATCTCTGCGGCTTGAACTACACGAACCGACAGGTCGGCTTTATTCTCCAACGGAAGGTGGATTGCTCAGTGGAATCAAAAATACCAGAAGCCCAGCTCAACTACCCCTCGTTCGCCATTAGATTTGGTCGCTCGCAGCCGATTTCTCAGACGTACACGAGATCGGTCACAAATGTGGGCGAGCCCGTTTCGTCGTACGTTGTCGAGATTGTCCCGCCACCTGGCATTGGTGTGCTAGTTGAACCCTCTAACCTCGACTTCTCCGAGGCTAACCAGACACTGCAGTACCAAGTGACGTTCACCGGGCCCGAATCTACCACGAATACCACTGTTTATATTCAAGGTTACCTGAAATGGAATTCCAGCAAGTATTATGTGCGGACTCCGATTGCCGTTACATTGCGCTGATTACGGGACCTGGGGGAGGATTCTTTACACAATAGTATGTGTTGGAGATATTAATACTAAATGATACATTTCACTAACAGCTTAAGCTTTTGGTTGAGATGGTCATTCAACAGTATGCCGTCTAATTATAAAGCAAACTACTCAATAAGAAGCTACATCGTTATCTTTTTCTTTTTATTTTATTATTTCCCTTGTTGCATAATTGTTTTGTTGTATATTGTGGATTTTCATGTTTTATATTCTGGTGAGTCATCTAATTTGTCTTTAGATATGGATTGCAAATTGCAATGTATGGGTTTTGATATTATGTTAACTGGAAACGAATCCCACGACCAAAACAAAACATCATAGATTGCATATTATATATTTACTATATCTATATATAATATTGGGTAAATTACGGCCACCCATCCTAAGTTGTGGTGCCAAATTTAGTGAAATCTTCTAGATTATTATGTGGAATATACTTTTGTTTGTACATGTTTTACCCCATTTGATCGAGCTCCACATTTTGAAACAAGATGCTCTTTTAGCTTGCAAAAATAATATTGTGGTGCATCAGATACTGCATCTTTACACATCATCAGGACCAATCCCTAGCACCCAAGCAACGAACAAGTACAAATTAGAGAACATTCCGCGGAATCTAGAAATATCTATTAAATTTGACACCATCAAAGTGGATTTGTAAGAAGATTCATAGTTGTGGGTGAATCTAATTACCCAAATATGAGAGATTTTTTCGTAATTTGACCTTACCTTAGAAGATGGTCGTAATCTACTACCCATGTAATATTTCGTACAGCCCAATTCAATCTAAAATAATCTATGCATAAAGGAAATAGAAGATGATCATCATTCATCATACAACATACATGTCTATTTTTTAATTTAAAAAATAAAAATTAAAAAAATATAGGGTGATCAAGAAAAGATTTCTAAGAATTGCAACACATAATAATATGCCACAAAAATCAATTACAAGCAAGTACAGCATAATGGTTTTTTTTAATAAACTACCCATATATTTTGAATGTACAAATAAGATAACTGTGGCATTTTGGTGAATAAAAAACTAGTTATAGCAGAGAAGGGAAAATATACATGTTCTTATGTACAAGTTTCATATTTGACACCTACAATGAAGAAACTAATGGTGGATGATATCATCAAGTACTATCAATAATACAACAATTGTACATCAACTCTAAGTTTCAGTGCTCAAAATAGTAACAATAGTTAACAAGTTCAAAGCATGGCCCGCTTCTCATAAACGAGACAATCACCGAACTAATTTTATATTTGGGCTAAGAAGAGTTCATTCGAGCGACTTGGTGTAACTTCTTTTCTTCGAACTGCTGGCCGACTGCCTGTCGAATATAATAAAGTTAAAAAGACTTCTTCTTTTATAAGATTATTTGTTTTTTGTGACAAATGAAATGTGAATTTTTTTTATTTTGTTTACTTACGAGTCGTCAGAACGTTCTTTACTAGAAGATGACTTCTGCAAGCTCGTGGATCGTCCAGCAGCCTGTGAAATAAGCATCAGACTCGAGTAGCTTATAAAATAACTCAATGCTCATATACAATGTAAATCGCCTCGAATAAGAAATTAATACTGGACTTCAGAATCTATTGTCATTCGTTGTAATATATGCAAATGCACATGTAATTCACAGATCAAAAGTTAACTATCCGTGACCATTGAGTAACGGTCCTTCCTATTTAACAATTCACAAGAGAACTATGTCACCAAATCTTTTTATTAACTAGTTTCTCTTTCAAACTATTTAGAAATGTAAAAACATGACGCCAGTCGATTTGTTTCGAATCTTTCCTCGTAACTCAATGACATTTTGAGAACGACAAGAGTTCTGCATTTGAATACCCATATGATACAAGTCTGAAGATTTTCTAACTCTCAATTGAATTTCAGCAACGATTCAAGCTAGAAAAAAGTGGATCCACGATGAAAATCTAGATAAGAGAATAGTTTCAAAAACGAACAATTAGATAAGCTATGACTACAAATCCTAAATGCCATCTTATTTCAATACAATGATCACCTAGATTTTGCCAGCTTCGCTGGTAAATATGCAACAAAATTGGTCAAAAAGTATTTGACCAATGTATAATAATGTCGGAAATCTGCCAGATTTGACCTCGATAATATATAAGCTGGCTGATTCGATGTTTTCCGGTTTTGAGGACAGAATCATGATATTTTATTCAGCTGTGACCTTTCTTTATTCAGCTTAGTCTATATTCCTTTTTTTTTAATCAGTTACTCACTCTATATTCATTGTATAGGAGGTTAGGAAACCCTATAAATATAGCCATGCACAGATTACCATTTACCAGAATATAAGAAAAAATTCTCTTTAAAATTTCACATGATATCAGCGCCAACATTCCTTTGAAAGCGTCGGAGGTCAACTCTGGTACAACCCGTTCTTTATCCGACATTAATTCAAGCAAAAGCTCGTCAATTCGTGTTTTTACCACTCAATGACAGCAATTTTCTTCGTTTTCTTCACAAAAAGCTATGTTGTTGAGGTCGTGAGCAAATTCATGCATGGTCCAAGAGAAGATGATTTGAAAGTCGTTTTTCAGAATTTTCAAGTACTTAAAAAAATTCTACAGGCTTAGGTCTTTTATGGAAGTTGAAGTTTACACCAATGCAAATTGGGTCGGATTTTCTCTTGATAGGAGATCAATTTCCATCTATTGTACTTTCTTATGGAGGAAACAATCCGTTAGGCTTCATCTAGTGAAGCTGAATTCATCAACATCTTTAGGAATTTACGAAGCTATTTTGCTAAAAACTATCTTAAACATTGAAGGATTGAGGTCACTAAAAATCAATGCGACTAAACATCCATTAGCATAGCACATAATCTTATCCAACATGACCGAACAAAGCATGTCGAGATAGACTGTCGTTTTAGAAAGGAGAATTGAAGAAATGATCATTTGTGTTTCTTTTTTCGTTCAAACTAGCCGATGCATTCACAAAGAGCCTTTCAGAAGATCTTATCCAGAACGGGAATTCGAGATATTTTCAAGCACCTTGAAGGGGAGTGTGTTGATTGGATGATTTCGGATTTCAAGGCCATAATCATGATAATTTATTCCGTTATGATCTTTTCTTATTTGGCGTAGTCTATTGTCTTTGTATAGGAGGCTAGAAAACCCTATGAACAGAACCAATGTACACATAACTAGAATATATATGAAAAAATTATCCTTCAAATTTCACAAATAACAGACTACAGAATCGAACATATTCTATGACAATCCTATTTCTAAGAAAGTTCCTACGGAAGAACCTTAAATGTCATATAAAATAGAACATTGTGTGTCCTGTTTCCTGGATAGGGATAAATTCGTGGTTATGCAGTCATTCTTTAACCCTAGTAACATATGTAACGGAGTTGTTTGCACATAAAACAAATAAATAGTAATAGTAGTGAGTATTAATAATACTAACAGAGTGGTGTAATCTTCTGCAGCCTCGAGTATGAGCTTCCAGGTATTCTTCATATGTCTGCATCATGAAATGAACAAGGCAAAATCATCAGCAAGACAGCTTTCACCCCAAATCCTTAACCCTAAACATAATAATGTAGCTCGAAATATAAATCCTAGAAATATAAACAAATCAAACTTCAACATCTGTCACAGAGGTAAACCACAAAACATAGTAATAAGTAGGTAAATATTCCATGGCCTATCACCAAAGCGATGAAAGGTTCAAAGCATTGCTATGAGAAGATTAAGTTTGTTATGTCGAGATTTATGTGAGTTTCTATTTGCACCATCATATGCAGTGACCAAAATGCCACAAATATTTTTCACTAAATATAAAATGCAATTATATCTAACGTTTTCCACTTTCCATAGCTAAGTAAGTATTACAGGATGACCTCTTTGATAACTAAAACTTTCAAAAATCTACATGAACTTTACAGGATGTCCTACCAAAGAGGTCATTGCTGGACATGGGTTACGAAGAAAATAAACAAACAAACGAACAGTAGTTGGTGGACCATAAGCCGCAACGTTTTATTTCCTTCTCAAGTACTTTGTAGATGGCAGTAAGGGAAGATGTGTACTCGTCCAACTCATCAATTTCAAGGATAAAAGAAGGAACGGGAAAAAAAAATACTACATTATGGTAACAGAACATTTTGAGGGTCAAGAGCAAGATCATAGGCAGAAAAGGCAGCACAAGATAGAAAGGAGAAGTACGTTAAGAAATTCAGAGAAAAAACTTGCAAGACATAATTGAGATAATAACATCACTACATCACTACATCACTTAATACATAAACTCGTGAGTCGTGCTTAAACCATCAGCCATAACTAAATGCTACACTAATTGAATCAATTGACAAGGACAACGTTTTTTAATGAATCAAAGATAATTCAACTGATAAAGCTAAAGATAAGACACTAATACCATTTCCAGGATATCATCTTCGGAGAAAGTGCCAATGAATGGACTCTTCTCTGCTGACAAGTCCCGAGTAGTAATTCTAGAAGAATTACTAGTCCTATTAGCTGAGCTTCCATTGATTCCGCAATGCCTTGACTGGTTCACTTTTCGTGTCCCGGAAACATTTGAGAAATCATTAAGTATTCCACCAGGTTTCTGATGAGGCAACTGAAACCCACGTGCTTCAGCTTGATGTTGATAAAGTAAAGAAGGATAAAGCCCAGGCGCCATACGCATTGGGAGCACATTATAATCCTCATCTTGTATAGAATGGAAAGGCTCGAGATAAGGTCTGCTTGCAGAAAAATCACCTCGAGCGATTTCATCCCTTCATCAAACAAGCCATATTGTTCAAAGTGCCAAAAAAAAAAAATGTATACTCTGATTGAAAAATGTACCTTTTCAAGTTAAGGTCTATACCACCCCCCTCGTCAAGAAGCTCACAAAGCGCTCGACCAATATCCCCAGGCAACTCCTGGCATAATATACACGGAGTCATCGTGCGGTAATAACCATACATCATAAAGCTCTTCAGACGCTGGTAAAGTGGAAAGATACCTGACAGTCCCTGCTGATTTTGACAGGCTTGAAATCGTTCCAAGGATTTTTTAGATGAAGAGTTTTCTGAAAAGCCAAGTCGTTTAAGCGCAGCCATTTGACTTTAAAACTGCGGCCCCAAGGATTACTTTTCCCACTCGCTTGACTCCAAATGGTATCCCTTCTCCAACCAACGGAAGACATCATTTGAGCATATCCTTGGAAGAACCCACTCATGTTGACGCTAAATATAAGAATTACCTTTCCTGAATTCTGCATATACTTACATTGTATTATACGTTTGCTATTCTTGCCAGCTTTTTAAGTGGAGATAACTCATTAAGACTATACACAGTAGGACGGTAATCTAGACGAGTGTCTATCTTTTAATACATAAAAGTTCCAAAAGGTGGATAAGAATCGTATTACATGAATAAACAAAAAAGAAATGTTACTTGAAAGGCTTCTTCAAGAATCGGCTCATTCATTACTTGAGTTGCCCAAATTTCCTTCTTTACTGACAATTGGATATTTTCATGATTCAAGCTCTTGATAATAAAATATCTTGTATTATTCAATTTATCCTTCTTCATTTCACTCGATGTTCCCACCCGGTCACACGAGTGCGCTTGCTCTTCAGCCCCTGAACGACACGTTTCCTCATTTGATCTGCCCCTTGGACTCGCTACAAAAGTATTCCAAACATTTCACTAAGAAAGATTATCCGGAAAGTGTGAATGTGTTAAGCACAACAAAATCAAGCCTCGTAAAACAGAGAACTTCGATTTTGAATTGCAATTAGGCATTTCATGTAGTCCTCCATATTTTAAAGGAACAACATAAATAGTTCGGGTATGGTATACGATAAAGTGGGCACCATAGCATTCAGAAACAGAATAGAAATAAATTCAACAGTTAATTAATCAGGATTAAGAGCTGCTTCTTTTTATGCAGTAAATAGATAATGGAGATAACAGCACCAAAAGAAGCAGCGAGGAGATCTCTGCTTCATATGAACTTCGCTTTTCCTAAATGCATATAAAAAAATAGCAACACTAGCAAAGAGAGTTTAAAACGGAGATCCTGATGAACAGCTTAAGTAAAATATATATTGCCTACAACTTATGAAGATGTAAGGTCGGAGCCATCGACATTATTATCGATCGAATTTAAAATTGATCTTTAACAAAGACATTGCATGCAATATGATTCATCTTTTACATATCAAGCAACTTATATTATCCAAAATAAATTGGTCAATAATTGCACATGCAAGACACTATTATGAAAAGCCAAGACTATAATGCAATTTAGTAAGTAACTTGACCCTCAGCAGTCCATAGCCATGTTTTCAAGTGTCTTGAGACAAAATTCTAACTCGACTCGCCTTCTCCTTTGCTATTAATAGTAAATAAAAGAACCCTACTTAACTGAACAGAGACAGATAGACTTATATACTTCGTTGGAAATTGGGATGACGAAAAACTAGACCCTTCCCACAACAAATATGCAACAAAAACCCTTAAAAACTTGAACAAATAAGTTAAGCATTGAAACTATTGCAGTTACAAAAGTCCGCAGCAAATTGAAAAGCAGAATTCACTCTTAGCTCCAGCTCTATTTTTTTCCTTTCGGATATCTATGTTAATTGCCTAAATAACGTTAAATTTCTAGACCGGTGAATTGATGATTTTGAATAGAAAGAGCATCATTCCTAGAGAAAAGAAAAATGAATCCAAACATCCAACACAGAAATTTTACTGCGCTAGCAAAACCCGATCTTAGGATTCCATAGTTCAACAAAAAATCATCACAACCCGTGGTAGTCGATAGTTTAAATTGATGGTGAAAAAATAAATAGACATACTTTTACCTGAATCGGGTAAGTTCATCATGTCTTTGTTGCATTCAGTCACTGATGAGTCAACTCTAGCAGTGCTGGTTGACATGCCTTGATATTTTCCTAATCTACGAAAGCAGAATAGAGGAAAACGATAGTGAGACCTACAAAGTCTCTCTTCAGTAAATGATGAGAGATAGCATAAAAACATAATATTACGCATGCAAGCACATTTTTCAGTAACCATTTCTAGCATAATTACTGAATGTAATATCTAAATGGGGAGCAGAAGAAAAATTGGAGATAGTATGCACACGCTTCTAACCGGTAACACTGAATACATACTAACACCAGTAATTTCAGCTAAAGATGCAGTCGAGAAATCGAAGTTTTCAGATGACCACAATCTCCCAGAAGAAACGGATATGATCGAGTTTAAGAACTACATCCGAAAGATGGTAGTACCATACTGTACTATCCAGGACAACTCATATCCAAAAATAAGGTTGTACGTTGAAGTATAGGAAAAACAATATACCAAATTGAGAAACCATCTCGAGTCCTTTAATAGTTCAACAACGATCACCAAATTGATTTCAGACACCCGCAATAATCACCAGCAAGCATAAATAACAAATTCTAAAATTTCAAACAATAGCTCCGTAACCACGAATTGCCCGAAACACAAACCAAGTGGAAGTTACTATTTCAACAGTACAATGTACACGAAAATAGGTCCAAAAAAAAACAATTAAACTCCTCTATATAGCAACTCTAGTTTCACATGCTTGCCATTACGGAGTCACGAAAGAAATACTTAAAATCCCATGATTTGAATAACAACTGATGAATAACAAATACAATTATATAAAGATGCCTAAATTCGTTACAAGATACACGGTTCACTCGTTTCTCTGTTGCTTTTAATAATCCCACAAGTAACTGCCAAGCAATTTCACATTCATTTAACCAATGAACTGTGACTACCAAAACAAATACCGACTGAAAGTTTGAAGTAAACAAGCATAACCTGTAAAAGTTCGCACAAAACGGAACCCAGATTTTTACTGCATTGTTGTAACTTTACTTCCATCGATTCTTATAAACATCTTTAAACTAATCTAAACCGGTCTTCTATGATCTATCCTAACTAACTACGTAACACTTCTCAAGTGTCGTAACTAAATTGGTGTAATGCATTCATAGTGAACCGTCTATTTACAATTCAAATATCTAAAAGCTTCATTCTTTCAATGCGTTCTTCCGTCACTCATCCGAGAAGATTTACATAACGCTATCTCATCTCTATGTATAGTGCAAATACTTTTCATTCCTGAAGAAAAACGTATCATCATTGATTCTCCCCCTAAACGTATAATCGTAAAAGGAGGAATTCACACGCCAATTTAACAAACACCTAACCAAACGACCTCCATCACAACAAAACCCTACGACTTAACTTCGTAAATGGAAAATTCAAACTGAATGAACACAAATTTTTTACCATGTATCTCCGCACATTCATTAATTACTAATGCAAAAACCAAGAGTACAAGTATTTAGTGCATAATCAGAATTTAGAGTTGTGACATTTATGCGGCAGAGTGAGAGCGCCATGAATTTGAAAACCTGAAACGATGGAGAAAAAAAAAAGTAGAGAAACATACCTCTGCGCAGGGCAGTGAGAGAGAGAGAAGAGGGGGGAATCCGGAGAGAGAAAGTAGTGAGTGAAGAGTTTTGATAAGATTTGCCCTAGGTTAATTTATTTAAATTTTTTTTTATTTTTTTTTTTAAAGCCAACAATTCATGTGCAAAGGTCCTAATTATATTTGCAGTTTTGGGGATTTTTTGATATTTTTAAAAGTTTTGGGGGATTCTGTTATAAACCGCGAATAGCAATTTTGTGACCGCAAATAGGATTTCATTTGTATTTTAAGCAATGTTTGGTTGTATTTTCTTATCAATTCTATTCTTTCATGGAAACGAATTTGTGTTTGTTTAGTTTTCGAAAAATAATTCCAACAAAATTTTATAGCTCCTCATCCAAATATGTTTTTTACTGTTACAGTAAAAAAAATTTGATTGCTACAGTAAAAAAAATGTCTTAATCATAACTTTACTTTTCAAAAACATATTTCTCCGAATTAATTACAATCACCTATTAACTATATATTATTGTACAGAAAACTCCCTCCTTCAATTGATAAATTTGATGCTTAAGAGTCGATGTGTAAAATAATATATAGTTGAGGGAGATGATTGTAATTAACTACCCAAACATAATGAGTTTTCTCGTAACATAATGAGTTTTCAGGGATGACCACATTTGTTTGGAATTTTAATTTTGTCAAAACTATACAAATAAGTCATTTTTTATTACAATTCATTTGACAATGTCCTAAACAAAATATTTGTCAATTATTCATCACAATCCAAAGTAGTTTCGTTACATTTCACATCTCACACATGTTATAAAAATTTAAATTTTAACAAAAATATACAAAATGAATTTTGGTAAATTTATATAAAATAGTTAAAACAATTTCTATTTTGAATTTTTTAGGGTAAATTACAACCATTCCCCTGAAGTATGGTTAAATTACGAAAAAACCCTCTTGTTTAGATAATTACATCTACCCCTCAACTATGAATCTTCTTACACCTCCACCCTTATGATGTCAAATTCAGCATAATCATCTAAATTCCGTGGAATGTGCTCTAGTTTGTACTCGTTTTCTGTAAAAAATACAGTTTTTTATACACCACAATCTGATATATACAAGCAAAAAAATACATTTTATGATCATCTTGCTTCAAAATGTGGAGCTCGAATGAGATAAAAAAAAAAAGGTACAAAATTGATAATATTTCATATAATCAAGAAGATTCACTAAATTTGAAACCGCAAGGATGAACGTGTAAGAAAATTTATGGTTGAGGAGGTCGTTGTAATTACACAAAGAAGAGAGATGTTTCGTAATTTTACCATACCTCAGGGGTGTTTGTAATTTACCCCTTTTTTAATAAGAAAATTTCTAATTATTACTCCGCCGAAGGTCACTCTACCAAAACGCTAACTCAACCAGCCATGGCGGCCGCCTCCGCCGATCAACACCAACCACCAGAATCGCCGCCCCTCCTTATCCTCCACCGCTTTCCCAGCTTCAAGCTCTCCTTTTTCCCCTTCCTCCGGACCAAATACACCGTCCTCGACCCGCACGCCGACCCACCCGACCCATCATTCCCGGCCTTATCCAAGTCCGCGCGCCTCATGCTCTGCGTGGGGCCCACGCCCCTCACCTCCGACGACCTCGTCAATTACCCCGCCGTCGAGTGCGTCGTCGGCTCCAGCGCCGGACTCAACCACCTCGACCTCGACGCCTGCCGCCGCCGCCGCATCCGCGTCACCAGCGCCGGCGACGCCTTCTCCGATGACGTGGCGGACTACGCCGTCGGCCTCGCCATCGACGTCCTTAGACGGATCTCTTCTGCCGATCGGTTCGTTCGGGCCGGATCCTGGCCCGCCCGCAACGAATATTCTCTAGGATCAAAGGTTTGAAAATTATCCAATTGATTATCTGATTGTCAATCCTTAAACACGATTCATTTCAAATCCTTCTCGTTTGGATTAATTTCAAATCCTTCGATCCAAACACAGTCTAAATGAATTTTGACATATAATTATCAATCATTTCAGGTGAGCGGAAAACGAGTAGGGATAGTGGGATTAGGTAGCATTGGCTCGAGAATTGCCAAACGATTCGATGCATTCGGTTGCACCGTTACATACACCTCGAGGAATAAGAAATCTCATTTACCGTACACTTACTACGCCGACATTCTCGATCTCGCATCGAACAGCGATGTACTCGTAGTTTGCTGCGCACTGACGAACGAGACGCACCATTTGATCGACAAGGATGTTATGGCGGCACTAGGAAAGAGGGGCATAATCGTAAACGTCGGGCGTGGGGCCCTTATCGACGAGAAGGAATTGGTGGAGTTCTTGGTGAGGGGGGAGATAGGTGGGGCCGGCCTCGACGTGTTTGAAAACGAGCCTCGTGTTCCGAAAGAGCTGTTGGAGTTGGACAACGTTGTCTTGTCTCCGCATAAAGCTGTAATGACTCCCGATTCGTTTGCAGCGCTTGAGGAGATGGTACTTGGCAACTTGGAAGCTTTCTTCGCTAACGAACCTTTGAAGGCGGAGATTGAGCTTTGATTTACGATATGGTGCCACTCTGCAATTTGGGGGTATATGACTTCTTCGACCCTACACCCGGTGATAAATACCGGGTAGGTCTTCTGTTGTCACGTGGATTTTTTTGTATTTTATTATATATTCCCCCACTTGGGTTAACACTTGGGTTAACCTGTTGGAGTTTTAGAAAAATACAAAAAAAAATATGTGGCAGTAGAAGACCCACCCAGTGTTTATCACCGGGTGTAGGGTCGAAGGAAACCGGGGGTATATATATAGATTTTGGTGGTGTTTGCAAATGATTATTTAAAAGCAGAAGTTAGTGATTGTGATTTAAGTTAGTTTTAAGTGTTTATTTCTAAAAGTTGGGGGTGTTTGCAAATATTTCAGAAAATGAACTAAAATTGAAAAAGCAGGGTTAGGGGTGCTTTTAAAAAAATAGCTTAAAGCAGATTATTTTAAGAGAAGCAAAAGCAAAAGTTGATTTTGCAAACACCTAAAAACGGATTATGAGCAAAAAAAACCGCATAATCACTTTCAAAAAGCATTTGCAAACACCACCTTTATTTGGAAATAAAGCTTTGGGGCTTATGTATTGTACGTAGTTAGGGTTTTGGTAGTGAATGATGTGTATTAGTTTACACATTCTTGTTATACTAATCCCACTTGCTTCGTAGTGTCACCATATTTAGTTGTGCATAAAGGTATTAATTTGAATTTAATCTGCACACAACTATACGCACAAACATAAACATACATACGGGTGTATATATATGTGTGTGTGTGTAAAAATGGATAGTTTACAAAACATGATACGATAAAATTACAGTTGCTGAAGTTTGCTAGGTTCGAGTAAACCGCGTTTAAACATGGCATAATTTTCTCATCCAACTACCAATTTAGCTAATTCAAATTGGGTTAGAAAAGCCAATTCTAATGGCTACAACTTCGATGATTTGACATTTCTTAAATTAGGACTATAAGATGATCAAAATTACGTATTCTGGGTTATGCCAATGCTCGTTCGTTCATGCATAGCTCTCTCAGCCGACATTCAATATAGCTGATTCAAGTTGGATCACAAAACCAACACAAATGACTACAAAGTCGGTGCTTCGAGTTTCGACAAATTCGAATAGAAAACGAGTCAAATTCACATTGGAAGTTTGATCCAAAATGAAACTAGAAAGCAACCAAACTAAAAATAAAAATTAAAAATTAATTAAATTCCCCTCCACACATTCTCACTTACCTTATCTTCAAGCTGTCCCCTCTTCCCCCCAAAAACCATCAAATTTGCCGTGTGCGCAGATCACCAAATGCAATCATTATTCAAGCCCAAACCCCGCCAAATATTCTCCTCCTCCCAACGCCGCCGCCGCCGCCGCGAATGGCATCCAGACTTGGCTTCACTGTGGCGAAACCACGATCCTTCACTGGCCGATTTAGAAAACCATTAACTTCTGTCCCTTCTTTACTGACTTCTGCTTCTGGAGTTCAATTTGGTGCTACGAAACTGTCGTTCACGCGCCGGCTGTTGGTTGTTTCTACCAAGGCAACCGGCGATCAACCAGGTTTACTCTCTTCTGCTTCTTAATTCTTAAATTAATGATCATCAAACAGGATAAGCTTCTAGATTTCATTCTTCTCTACTATTTGCCTAATTTAGGAACTCCTTTAGTAAAATTCATAGATTTTATCGTAATTTGTGGAGAGATTTTTTCGATTTCTCCGAGCCCTTGGGTACCTAATTAGGGATAGGATCGGATCAGATCAGATAAATTATGGGAGATTCCAAAGTTCTTGTTCATGTTATAATAATACGTATAATTACTAAGGGTTTTAGTTTTCATTCGTATGACTCGAAAAAAGCTCGAACTCGAACTCGAGTTTTTTGAGCTCAACCTCGCGAGCTCGAGCTCAGAGTTTTTTTTAGTTGTTCGTGAATTCATGAGTTCGTAAATATATAATTACAGTTCATTATTTATTTTGTCATAAAATAAATCAAAATTAATTAAAAAAAAAAAAAAAAAAAAACCCCAAAACAAGCTTGGCCTTGAGCTCGAGCTTGTCAAAATCGGCTCGAGTTCAAGCTCGAGCTCGAGCCTGCCAAAACAGCGAGCTCGGCTCGTTCACACCCCTATAATTGTATGTGCATAAGGGAATAGGGCAGCAAGGGAAGAAAAAAAGAAGAATATATTCGAGAGGCCTTACAAGATTTTGCCATCACTTTATAGTTTGGGGAAAAATGAATAAAATACCTAATATGCACAACTATAGTTGAAATTGTTCTCAAATGAAAATTGAACTTGCAATAAAAATAATCCACAAGTTAAGACTAATCTCACTTCCAAATTGCACTTCCGAAATTGATCGGGTCAAACAATTGTTAAGTTTGAAGAAGCATTTGTTGCTGTCAAAGCTTTGTATCAGCGACGTGTACGTGTATTTTTCACTTGGAGAATGAAAAACTCTTCTCCTGCTACGAGCTTGGTATAAATTCTGAATCACGGAATCTACTGTCATTTGTTGTCTACAGAAAGATTAAGTACTATGAAACAGAGTCGACATTAAAAAAAAAACCACGTTTTATGCTGCTTACATTGGACCCCGTGTTTACTTCAGGTCAAGTCCGAGAAAACGAGACTATTGACAGCAATGTCCTGCCTTATTGCAACATAGAAAAGGATCAGAAAAAGTCTTTGGGAGAAATGGAACAGGAATTTCTTCAAGCACTTCAGGTAATAACCGAGAGTTTGTTTCTTCATGTATAAGTTCTTAGTTATCAGTAGATTCCTATTTCCGACAATTATAAGTAGTGCTCTTCCTTTGTTTTTTCGTACGATATTTGATGTTGTGAGCTGGCTACTTTATTACAGGCATTCTATTATGAAGGAAAGTCTATCATGTCTAACGAGGAATTTGATAACCTTAAGGAAGAACTCATGTGGGAAGGGAGCAGCGTTGTAATGCTAAGTAATTGAAGTTTTCAACCCTGCAACAATTTCTGTCCCATTTTTTTTTTTTAAATAATAATAATTATCCTTTTATGTTCTTGTAACTTACTATGTTCAAAGTTCAGGTGCTGACGAACAAAGGTTTTTAGAAGCTTCAATGGCTTACGTATCTGGAAATCAAATTATGACGGATGACGAGTATGATAAACTGAAACAAAAACTTAAGGTACGTTACAAAAAAAATCGCATAGAGAAAATATGACATAATTGATAAGAGTATGTATAATGTCCGAGTATATTTTCTTGAAAAAAAATGATTCAAGAATGTACATTTTTACCTATCATCATCTGTTGGCTTTCTTTGTATTAGATTTCTGCTTTTCAATTAGTTTCGACTTTTAAGGAATTGGATGCTATTTTCCAGTTTATTTTCTGATTTCATTTCCTTATTCTCTGCTTTATTTTCTTGTTTTTTTTTATCCTTTTCATATACTCGATCTTTTAATTTCTGCTAGTATATCTTGTAGATGGATGGGAGCGAAATTGTGGTCGAGGGTCCTCGATGCAGTCTCCGTAGTAGAAAGGTTCGTGATTTTTCCTCCCGACTTACGTAGTTACATTTATGCTCACAGTAGTAATACTTTTATGTTTAAAGAGCGACATTCTTTGACCGATTTCATATATTAGACAAAATACATGTCGAAGGTGTTTGTCTTGCCATTCTACCAATTCAGATGTTATCAGTTAATTGGTGTGAACTTCCCATACACCAGGGTCGTTAGTTTTGGTTTAAATTAATAGAACAGGTTAAAGACAATAAGAATTCGAAATCACGGCTTTAGGTTTACCGTGTGAAAAACAAAGGTTTAGCCCAGCCCTATCATTAATTTTTCATTTATTTAGCATATGGCATCTCAATCTAAATCGTACTTATTTATCATGCAGGTTTATAGTGACCTTTCTGTCGACTATCTCAAGATGTTTCTTTTGAATGTACCGGCTGCAGTCGTTGCATTAGGACTGTAAGTAACACCCTCACTAGTAGAAAAATGGATTTTTACTACGATCATTAACCGTAGCAAAAGGTATCAAATTCGTACTAAAAAGGCTTTTGCTACGCATTTGCTACGAATTCGCTCCGTTACGGTAAATGGCCGTACCAAATACTTTTTTGCTACGGTAAATCCTAGTACTTACTACGACTTCAAAATTGTTCCGTAGTAAAAAGTACCTTTTATTACGGTTTTTACCGTAGCAAAAAAATTCGTAGTATAAGCAAATTTTCTACTAGTGCCTGGTTCAACATAAATAATGTCTTTTATGTCTTATTGTCCGCGTCTAGGGGTGGAAATTAGAGCGGAATTTTCAAATTCCGTTGATTCGGATCTGAATATCTCTGATTTTGGAACAACATTTTCATTCCAAATTCCAAAAGTTCCAGTTTCCGATTTTTTTTTGGAAATTCCGAATTCCACAGATTCCGATCTGAGAATTCCCAGTTTTAGAACATTTTTTTTTTCATTTTAATAAAAAAAATTAACAGAATTGGAATTTTGTTTTTCACTGAAAAACTAAATTGGAATTTTTCCAAAAGTTCTAATTCCAATCCGATTTCCACCCCTATCCGCGTCCTTATGATGTTTTCGTTATAATGGGAGCATTAAAAACAATGCTTAAAAGATCTTACCTTGTCTAATTTCAGGTTTTTCTTTCTTGATGATTTGACCGGATTCGAAATCACCTATCTTTTAGAGGTAATGAAATATCATCCAGTGTAACCCGATTACTATGATGTTCTTTTTAAGTCAACTCGAAAGTATTGTCTTATGCAGCTTCCAGAACCGTTCAGTTTCCTCTTCACGTGGTTTGCGGCTTTGCCGTTGATACTGTGGTTGTCTTTCACCATTACAAACATCATCGTTAAAGACTTTTTGATCTTAGTGGTAAGAAGAATCTCCCGAATCTTGAAACGAGTCATTTACTTTTTGCAGTCTTTAAATTTGTTCGATGAATTTAATAATGTTTCAGGGACCCTGTCCGAACTGTGGCACGGAAAACACTTCATTCTTTGGTACCATATTGTCGGTATCTAGCGGTGGTTCTGTCAACACACTGAAATGTTCCAAGTAAGTCAACAATACATCTTCGTTAGAAAGTTATTCTATTTGGCATTTTTCCGTAAACGGTTTTTTTTTTTTTTTAATTTTTTTTAGCTATTCTGACTGTAAAACATAATTGTCAGCTGTGGAACAGAGATGGTGTACGATTCTAAGGCTCGACTGATTACACTTCCTGAATGAAGTGAGACACGAGTTCAGGTACCTATTCTCTGAAACTGTATTTTTTAAGCGAAAATTACAGTTTTCATCCCTCCAGTTTGCACCGATTTCATATTTGGCCCCCCATGTTCAAAAAATATACATTTGGTCCCTTATGTTTCAATAATTTAACACTTTTGATCCTTCCCATCAATTTACCGTTAGTTCGTCAGTTAAAGCAGCCATGGGAACACGCTTGATTCCGTTAGTACTAACAGAAAATTGACGGTTAAGTGTAGTTTTTCTTAAATATGAGGGACCAAATGTATTTTTTTAAAATATAGGGGATCAAATGTGAAATAGGTGTAAACTTGAGGGATGAAAACTGTATTTTTTCCCTTTTTTTATAATAAATTTTCAAAGTACCCTCGTAACTAGGTGGTTTTCATAATAAGTTTTCACATACATCTGAACAACCAAAACTATACTCATCACAGCAAGTTGATGATATTTATTTATCCTTTAAGGCCTCGTTTGTGAATGTTGATGGATAAAATCGATTGAATTGGTTAAGATTGCATCGCCGTTGATAATGTAATACATGATTATCTTATGTTCGAAATTTGTGATTGCACAATCCTTATGTTAGGTGATAAACCTTGTAGGATTGTGTAATAATAGGTGTTGAGTTCGGACTAAATATCTTTCATACGCTTGATCGAAATCTCGTTTCGTTTTTTTTTTTTTTTGATCATGGACTCAATATCTAAACCTCAAATATTTAACAAAGCTTTGATTAAATTCTCTATCAAACCTAATCATAATTCTCAAACAAGGCCTTAGAAGAAATGCATGAATTTCAGGGGGAATAACGTAAGAAGTAATGAAAATTAAAAATTAAAGAAAAAATATTTTTTCGTTTGGTAAAATCGTCGTTGATTAGTTATATCAAATATCAATTTGCTTGCAGGATATATTTCTTTTCTAAATATAATGTAACATCACCGGGGCAGACATGATGGATTTGGACGTTGAAGATGAAACGAATGTAAGTTATTGTAAATGTGTGTATATGTATGTATTATCTTATATAGACTCTTCGCTAGTTTGAAGACAACTCTTTGGAAATTTACCACTTGGTTTTATACTATCTTAGGATATCCTTGTTGTCTTGAAAACTCAAGTCTAATGTCTAAAGACGATCTTTTTTACCGGTTAAATAATCGGGTAGTTTTTCACCTTAAGTTTACATAAAATCAAACGCGTAACACATGTGGATGCGTGTAAAATATGTATGAATTTATAGGTTAGGTCTGACGATGGACATAAACTCTCTTTATGGTCCTATGTTGGTCCGGCGCTGCATAAAACATTAGGGTAAATTACACTTACACCCCTGAGGTATGCTAAAATCACTTTAAGATCCCTGTAGTATCGGTAATTACGATCACCCCTGAAACTTTGTTAGAAACCCTGACACGGAATAATGCATTGGATAAGTTATTATGTTCGGGGTCTAACATACTATTAGTTTCAGGTAGTGGTGGAGACATCATAGAGCTAGGGGGTGACATGACTCTCCTAACATTTCTTAAATTATTATTATTTTATATAAGATTTATAAATTTTCATTTATGGTAGTATTAACGGTCCCGCGGCAAACAAATATAGTGCATATTGGTCTCCAAGACATTAAATATTGGCTCCAGTAATTGTTTCAGGGGTATAGCTGTAATTACCAATACCATAGGGAACTTAAAATTATTTTATCATACATCAAGGGTAGGTATAATTTATTACCATTTCGTATGAAAAGTTAAAACAAAAGGGTGTAGAAAATAATTTCTTAAATATATATATATATATATATATATATATATATATATATATATATATATATATATATATATATATATATATAATTGATCACAACATGTACATCATAATTCATAAATACTAAATACAAAAGTAGCCCCTTTACAAGAAAGAAGTAAATAAACTACATATGTATGCAGATTGCATAAACAATTTGACAAGAATTGGTCTCCCTCAAAACAAGCAATGTTTGATGATGCTAAAGTTGGTTGGAGTGGGAGACATGTAATATTCATGTACAAGTTTTAATATTATTATTACATTTTATTTAATATCCAAATTAAACTTTTTTATTTATTTATTCACTCTCAGCACGCCATCATCTCCCTTTTTTGACTTCCAACTACTACCATCATTAACCCACGGCTCCCAAAATCATTCCCCCCTCAAATCTAATCGAGAAATTAGATGTTGCATTTGATTATTTATTCCGGATGAATTTAAATTGTAAATCTACACATAATCACAGACAAACACATAAATGTATGTGTGATTAGTTAGTAGTTATTCAATTAAATTTACAGTTCAAATCCACTCACTGTAAATAACTAGATGTAGAATCTAACTCAACCTTAGTTTAATTAATTTTTTTGATAAATATCATACTACTAATACTACAATTACTCGAACCGAAAAGGGTACGATCGCATTTAACTAAGCAAAAAGAATCCCCGGAACCCGATTTTCTTGAATTATATTCGTATTTTATATTTTATGTCTACTCATCGATACCGTTATATCAATATATTAGACATTGATGCTTGCTTGTGGATAATGTACATTTTAAGCATATTATGCACCTAATTATGATCTCTTTCTTTAAAAGAGGACATAATTAAATACATTCCCTAGTGCTAAAAGCCTCAAATATATATATATAAACTCTCACCATGTAAGTATATACTTACAATCTTGATTTTCAAAAAAAAATTATGGGATTCTCTCTCAATTCCATCACTCAAAAGATCATTTTTCTGTCACTAATTGCAACAACTTTAGTACAATCCCAAGAAACAATAAAATCGGCCCGTATTCTCGATCTCGTAATCCGAGACTACACATTCGAATCGTACAAGACCAATTTCAAGACAGGCAAACTACATAGTATCAATCTACCGGCAAATCTCTCCGGCATAAAAGTCGACACGGTAAGATTCCGGTGCGGCAGCCTTCATCGCTACGGAGCCAGAATCAAAGAATTCCAACTAAGCGTCGGCCTAAAAATCCTCCCATGCGATAAACGAGTCATGATCGTAAGGCAAAACCTCGGTTCGAACTGGTCTTCATTGTACTACGACAACTACGAGTTATCAGGTTATCAGTTAGTTTCGCCCGTCTTAGGTTTACTCGCTTACAACCTCGGCGAAACAAACAACGCAAGTGTTAGTACTAATAGTACCAGCAGCAGTAGTAGTAGTAGTAGTATTCGGTCTGATGAAAAAAGGCCGATTATTATAGACTTCAGCACTACAAAATCGGTGGGCGCCACGTCATCATCACCATCCAAGATTCCTCTATGTGCGAGGTTCGGCGACGGAGATGGGAAGGTGACGCTGTCGAACCAAGTGGGGCCCGGCTTGTGCGCTACGACCGGGGACGGGCATTTCGGGCTGGTGGTGGAATATTCCCCGGTGATGCCGCCGTTGAGGGGAGAAGATCGGAAAGAGGTGAGTAGGTGGAGGATTGTGGTCGGTGGAGCGATGGGGGCGGCGGTGGGGGCGGTTCTGATCGGTTTGCTGATGGTGGCGGTGTTCGTGAAGACGAAGAAGAAGAAGGAGAGAAGGGAGGAATTAGTGAGGAGGGCATATGAAGAGGAAGCTTTGCAGGTTTCCATGGTTGGACATGTTAGAGCTCTTACAGCTTCTTGTACAAGAACTTTGCCTACTATTGAGCATTTTGAGTATAGACCACCTCCCTCTTGATCTTTAATTTGTCTTATAATTTATTTTTTTCAATTATTATTTATTTTTATTTTTAAATTGAAGAGGTCTAGATTGTTAGTACACATTGTTTCAATTCTTAACTAGGCTTGTGTATAACTTTCTACTTGGACTTAGTTCTCAAGGGGTCGATTAAGAGGATGTTCGGCTGAACTTATCAACTGTTGGAAAGACCTTATAAGATGTTTAAAAGCTTATAACTCTTCTAAAGTGTATGTTAATTTTTTTTAAAATCATAAAACTTGAAAAAAAAATAAGCTGCAAGAGAGCTTTTTAGATCTTTTTGGAAAAGTACTTATGCCCCAACTTTTTATTTCATTAGTCTAGTCCATCTTTATCAAAATCTTATTTTATCCTTGCTCTTGAACAAGAAACTGAATGGAATCGAAAGGTCTTAGAACTTTTCAAATGATTCCATCTACCCACGTTGCTTTGGTCGGACATCTTTCCTCGGATTTATTGGAACCTTCTTTCTGAAAACACGACTCTCTGGGAAATGTAGGGTTCAAATAGTTCCAAGTCATTGGGTCAAGCAAGTTCTGCAAGACTTTCGCTTGCTACACTTACGATCTTATAATGAATAAAAATAGCTCATAAGCTCATTATCCAAACACTTTAAAAATAAATTCAAAAATAAGACGTGCAACTTACAAACTCTCAAAGCGTCTTATCAAAAGTAAGAACTTATTAGTTGTTTAAAATAAACTTAGTCAAACAGACCCTAATTACTAAATATCCACCTCATGATTATTAGCAAATGGACCAGATGCGAGTTTCAATTCATTACCATATATAGCGAATACAACTAGACATGATCACAGTTCGGTTAATTTCGGTTCCGTTCCGATTTTGGAGGAACCGGAACCGACCGAATATTTCCGGTTCTTTACGGTTCGGTTCCAAACGGTTCCCGGTTCTAATAATATATTTTTTATAAATATATGTAACTTAAAAAATACTTTAAAAAACTTAAAAGATATTTTAAACATAGTTAATTTCTTCTAAAAACCAGTGGAAAGAATACTTAAAACAAATATTAAAAAAACAAAAACACTTCAAGTTTTTTAAAAATATTTCAAAAATATTTTAATAGTTAATTTTTTTTTTGAAAAATCGGCCGTTTGAGCTGCCACGTGGAACTTAATTTTTTTTTTTTTTCTTTTTAATTTGAACGTTGGAAATTAATGTTTATTTAATTTTATTTTCTAAAAATCGGTTCGACCGATTCTAACTGTGGTTCTAACCGTCAGTTCTCGGTTATGAAAATGGGGAACCGGAACCAAACTGGTTTTCTCGGTTCCGGTTCTGGTTCGGGTCAAACTAATTTTTGTTCTGGTCAAACCTGTTCTGGTTCCATTAAAAAAACCATTGATCCTTGTTCAGTTTCGATTCCAGTTCCAGTTCTAATCGAACAGGGGGTCATGTCTAGGTACGGACTTTCGAGTAATTGCACATGCACCCTCCCATTACCCGCTCCATTAAATCAGTCTTATATTTTTTTAATTGTTACTTTTATATACTATTTATTATCAAAATACAAATAAACATTATTTTCTTTTTGAATTTTTTATCCCAAAATACTATTTTCGCAAAATAAAAAGAAAATACTTGCTCTTCTCCATTTTTGTTTTCAGCAAGGGTTAATTTAGTATGTACCATTCAAATTTATTTAGTTATGGCAAAATTGCCTCTCGGTGTTATAAGCACCTTACACCTACTAAGTAGAACCTCGATAAATTAATAACTTTGCTTAAATAATATTTTTTTTCTTGTCCCGACTCAGTGAAAACATAAATTATTAGTTCAATAATTAAATATTTCGCTAAACTAATAAAAATTTGCTAGCCCCAACTGTATTTATTTATTATAGAAGTTTAATTGTATCTAGTTGGTTAATTAACCGTTAAGGTTCCAATCACCCCGAGAAAATTACATTGTTATTATTTGCAAATATTATTGATGAAATATAATGTTTCGTTACTATAAACTGATTTATTTATTCCATTGATTAAATCACCGTGAAAAAACCATAGAAAAAAAAAACAGATATACAAAACAAGATACAAACTACTAATTTAAAAAAACGAAAAAAAAAACCTTCATGAAAAGTTATATATTTGTCGAAGGATCGTCTGCGTTTTGGAGATGGTCATATGAACAATGCGGTTTCGACCTCAATAGTTCGCGTCGTAGGTAGAACTTGAACTACTTGAGGAATAGATAACTGCAGATCTACCATCTCACACTGCACAAACAATAAATTAAAACACCACTTTTTACCCATCATATATCAATTCATTAAAAACCAAATTATATATGTATATATATATATATATATATATATATATATATATATATATATATATATATATATATATATATATCCATTGCTCACCTTTTGTCTTAATTCAGTGTTTTCTTTCATCAGATTCTTCTCCTACATCATCAAATAAAAATGTTCAAAATCCAGAATCAACGACGAAAAAAACAAAATATATACGAGCTCGTACGTATATATGCTATGCATGTACAAATTAAATGGCCATTTAGTTATTATTTATATCATCGACAAGTTATATACAATATTTTCACCTGTTGCTTCAGCTGCTCAATTTGATCTCTAAATAATGTATTCTGTGAAAAAGAAGAAGAAAAACTATATATTACGATCAAATACGAATAAATAAAACTCCGTTAGTTCTTGTTACATATATATTATTTTTTAGACGTACGTAATACACATCTACATATATATATACATACCTTCCTGGCTCGGATGTTGCCTAAACTTCGTTGCAACTGTTGTTCGAGGTTTTCCAACTCTTTTGTAGAACAAGAATCTAAACACTGTCCCAATAGCCTTCTGAAAAATTAATTAAATTAATTAGTTATTAGTTTCAGAAATATTAACTAATTATCATAGTTTCTTGCAATATATTTAAGCTACTTGCTAGGTTTATTGTAAAATAATTAATTTAATTAGCTGTTAATGTAATTAGCTAATTAATTGTAAGGGAGACAACTAGAACAAGTTTGATCACCTCTCAGTATCTTGGAGGAGCTCAATCTTCATTTGTAACTCAGCAGTCTCATTTTTCAAATCCTGCATCACTCAAATTATATATATATATATATATATATATATATATATATATATTAATTTTTATTTTAGGTTTATTAGAATTAAATTTTCTATTGGATAAAAGAAAGAAGAAAAAAAAGAAAAAGAAAATCAAAATTAATTCCTAAAGTATGTCTAAATTACAAAAATCTCCTTTTTATTCATGAAATTACATTTAATCCTCAACCACGTACTCCCCATGTTCCATAATAATTGTATGTTTTCTTTAAAGAGTAAAAAGCAGTTTACCCCCTAAATTAAAGCCCGTTTTGCACTTTGCCCCCCAAACAAAAAAAAATTGCACGTTTTTACCTTAACTCGTTAATTCGTTGCACGGTGCCCCCTAAACTCAATTTTCCGGCAATTTTGACCAGAATGTTAAAACATGTGCGATGCACGTGAGATTTGAAGGGTAAATTTGTCCCTTCACTTACATCTTATATGTTAATTATAAATTAATTATTAAAAAAAAAAAAAAATTAAAGAAAAATAAACAAACTCAGTCATCCTTCGCCCACACCACCCAAATCCAACTCATCCCCCAATCCAAAGAAGTAGAACCGGACACTCTCATTTCAACAAGTCCCTTAATTTTCCGACGACCGCCAGCGTCACTCCTCCATTCACGGCCATAGGTGAAGGTGACAATGATTTGGAATAACCCGAATCAGTTGATTTTTCAAGTTTCCAGCCAAGATCTGTACAACCAATCGAATTTTCGGGTATCCAAAGTCTCAACCTTCGTATGCCGACACCATCAGTGCGATAACTACCGATCCGGATTTTATAGCGACACTAGCGGAATTAATCCATTAGCCTCGTCGGCGGCGTCAAAACGTAGTCGTTTCGGAATGGGATGGTGGGCGGTTGTGGGCTGGGATTTGGGGGTGGGTCTCGTTGTCGGAGTCGGTTCTCGGTTGTTGTGGTGAAGTTGTTCAGGTTAATCGCGGCGGCGGAATCTGTGGGAACTGGATTACGGAGACTAAGTGATGAACGAGAATTGAGAAAGAAGAATTAGAATCAGGGAAAATAAAGGGAGAAACAGAAATTGAAAGAAAATAAGAAAAAAACAAACGAAAGAAGATTTAAGTTTGGGTCGTCTCTTCAGATTTTAATATTCCATCGTTCTGAATTTGAGGTTCTTAGCTTGTTGTTTATTATCTTCCTTATAATTGATCGTCGTTGTTGAATTGATAAATTGTTGTTTCAAAAAAAAAAAAAAACATTTAGAATCACGAAAAAGAAAGGGAGAAAAAAAAGGGAAAAAAAATTGAACGAATTAACGAAAAGAAAAAAAAAACGGACAGATGACGAAGAAATGGCGAAAGTCCAGCAGTTGCTGCAAGACTGCTTCAATGGTGGTGCCATGGTGGTCTACGGGATGAGTGGATGACAACTCATTTTTGTCCTTTTTCTTTTTTATTTATTTATTATTATTATTATTATTTTATTTTAAATATTAAAATATATAATGTAAGGGAAGTGACCAATTTGCCCCTGCAAATCTCATGTGCAATACACGTGTGGTCATATTTCCGTCAAAATTGCCGGAATATTCCTTTTAGGAGGCACCGTGCAATGAATTAACGAGTTCGGGTAAAAACGTGCAAATTTTTTTTGTTTGGGGGGCAAAGTGCAAAACGGGCTTTAATTTAGGGGGTAAACTGCTTTTTACTCTTCTTTAAAATATGTTTGTTCCATATTATTTGTCACTTACGATTTCCAATACTGCATTAAATGTATTTTTTCATGCTTTAACCTTACTAATTAAACTCTAAGTATTAACTCGATCTTATTGTAATATCAAGGTTATTTTAGTCTTTCTAATATATATTTTTCCTAAAATCAAGACACATTTATTGACATTCTTAATACTTGTCCACAGCTGAAAAACGACAAGTAATTAGGAACGAGTGGAGTAATAATAATTACGGTGCAATTAAGTAACAATAAAAGAATGACAAGAAATACTGACCTGAATATTTTCTTCTTTGGTTCTTCTGCCAGATGTTATGGTGCTCTTTGCATTCTTTTGATACCGTTCTATTGTCTTGTTGATCATAGTACTGTCAGTATTTTCAGAAATATAGGATTAATTATTACAATTCAAGATTTGTACTAAAATTGTCTTCTGAAAATGGATTTATTAAGATACTCATTTTCATGTATAAGTTTAGAAAATACTTTTTTTTTTTTTAATTGGAAAAATTGCTAAACCCCCTAAAAAAATTATGGCTAAAAGTCCACTTATTCTGAATTTGTTAAAAGTCTCTCGGGAAGCTTAATTGGACAACTTAGACTATAAATAGAAAGCTTAGTCTCAAAATAGACAATCTAGACTGAAAAGGAGGACCGAGATCGATGAGAAAAACTTTTTCCGGTACATGGTTGACGGCAGATGATTAGCATAGGTAGAGGCGGTTTGGAAAAAATGCCATTTTTTAGAGTTAATTAGTTTTTAGGACATATGAGGTGGGGGAGAATAATGTATTTTCAGTCAAAAATATTTTTTTCATTCTAAACTCTCTAACTAAACTGCCCGATGAACTTTTAGCAAAATGCGAAAATATGATTATATTAACAGTCCCCCTCAAACTCAAGATGAGGTATATATCAACTTGATGTTGTTAACCAAATCATAATGACCTCTCTTCAGATGAGGCACAGAGTGTCTGGGTTCCCCGACGCTTGAATGCGTGCAATATTTCTTACAATTCCGATGATCATCTAGTTTCCATCGATTGAACAGACCCATTAACGACGATCTTATGGTACTTTGATAAAAAAAAATTGATTGGAACATCGTCCACGATGGCTAATGTAGAACATCAGTGATTTATGGTGTTTTTCTTGACGATCTAAGCCCAATAAAGGAGAAAAAAAAACACCAAAAACAAGACTGGTCTAAAAAAAACACACATTCCCTAATGAATATAGAGCAGTGATTTATGGTATTTTCCGTCTCGGTGGAACCGAGCAAAAGATGGGAAAATAACAAATGAATGGATAATCAGACACACAGTGTACGTGTGGGACACTTTCTTCACAATCTACTTGCATGTAATACAGTGAATAGTCATTTTCATGATACTGTAACCTTCTTTTATTTGATCTTCAGGTGACAGAATATATATAATATATATATATATATAATATCAGACAGTTTTGCTTTGTCCAATGGTTGTTTGACACGACTTGCAAAATATTTCATCTTGTCGAAAACTTTAATCATTAAAAGATTTTATGGTTTTTTGTTCACACAATACAAAATTATATTACATATATTAATATAATATATATAATATATATTTATATATTGCACTTCAACTCATATATATATATATATATATATATATATATATATAGCATGGCATGAAGCATAGAAAAAGGTTTAAGAACAATTAGTACTAATTAATTATATGGGGTTTCTCACTCTCTATGTGTAGTTGAACCCAATTGTACTTGTAATCTCAATATTATATGTGTGTAAAGAGCTCCATTAGAGATAAGCACTTTGAGATTAGGACTAATTATAAAAAAATAAAAAATAAAATTTTCCAAAACTAATTGAATTAATTAACTGCACAATCAATTAACAAGAAAACAAAAAAATTAAACGCGTTTTCCCCCACAGTTCGATCTACAATTCTCTCTATTTCAAAGTATCCGTCACTTTAGACTTTTCTAATTTTTTTTCTTCAATATTCACCGTCATCTTAAAATTTCAATAGTGCATTAACTGCATTTTTTTTTTCAAGTTCTAAAATTCTCATTTAATTGCAAAAGTTATTTCAATCTTGTGACTACATTAAACGTGTTGGTAACAAACTTACAACGGCAATTATTTGAAACGGAGGAAGTAATTAATTAATTGTCTGAAAATTATAGATATATATCTTGCATCAAAATGAATTATTACTAATTAAATATATAAATTAAATTAACAAAAAATAAAAAAATCTAGGTATATAGTACCTGGAACTTGAGAATTCATAGAGTTTTCCACTTGGAGAGAAAACAATAAGAGCAACTTCAGCATCGCAAAGAACCGAGAGTTCGTAAGCCTTCTTCAAAAGCCCGTTTCTCCGCTTCGAAAACGTCACTTGCCTACTGCTCGCCTTCTCGATCCTTTTCATCTGTGTTTTTCCCCTCACCATTTTTCTTTATATGTATATCTGTTGTATGTATATATGTATGTATGTTTGTAAGTAGAAGCAGCAAAAGGGATCAAGAAAGTAAGAAACATATGAGGGTTTCCATAAATAGAATGTATGGTTGACTCACAAAGGATAATTAGAAATACAGACAAAGCTTTTTATGGGTGTTTTCTTTTTTCAGATCTGTAATAGTTAAGGAAATTGGATAGTGTAAGAGGGAGTAGCTGAAAACCCTAGATTCAATATTCAAGAATGAGGGCCAAATTAAATCATATGACTTTTTATTTATTTTATTTAATTTTTTTTTTTAATTTTTTTTTTTTTTTTGGTATGAGAAAAGACTTTAGAACCTCATCTTCTTTCTTTTTTTGGTAAACAAAATAAACAACCTATTAGAGGATCGGACTAGTGTAAGAAGAGGCAAACAAGTGGACATTTCACTTGTCAAAAAAAAAAAAGAAAAAAACAAAACAAAACAAAAAACAAGTGGATATTTCATTAATGTTTTTAGGATAAATTACGGCCACCCTCCGGGTAAGGTTAAATAACAAAAAATATACTGTTTCGTTCGAGTAATTCCAACCGGCTACCACCCTCAATTGTGAATCTTCTTACATGTTCGTCCTTATAGTGCAAATTCAACATAATCTTCTAGGTTCCGTGAATATTCACTAATTCGTACTTGTTTTGTACAAAAATGCAAATTTTTATGCACCACAGTATGATATTTACAAGTCGAGACACATTTTATGATCATTTTGCGTGATATTTTAGGCGTAATAGAGTGCAACCATGAATAGTTCGAGTTTAGATTCCTTGATTTGTCATTATATTTTAGGTCGAATATTTAAACTAGTAACGCGTGGTTTATACTTGATTTATGATTTACATCTCTTGTATGATTTGGATACTACGTATAAAAAAAAGTGCTTTATTCAATATATCCTAATTGCGAGTTGATTCATTATTACAAAAACAATTACCCTATTGGTCTTTTTGGGACCATATAGAGATGCCAATTTTGAATTTTATATTACAAGTGCTCTTCCTCCAAATTCATTTAAATAACTTCTTGAATAAGTGCTTTTGGTTATAAAATTATTATGTGAGTGTTAATTTTTAAGTGGGTATTTTTGAGATAATTCACTTTCTTGACTTTTAGTCTAAAATTGCTTTTTCAATATATTTTATTTACCATATATATGTAATAATCAAATTTAATTTAAAAATCACTTGATAAAAGTACTCACGAACATATATTATATTAATCTGAAATGATTTGCGCGGTAGTAAAATTACGAATGTCGTTCACAATATGCTTTTCTTTCTCTCTCTAACTCTCCCAAACCTTCTAAAATCTCCAAAATCTCCCAAAACTCCCAAGAACTCTCAATAATCCTCTCAAGTCCTAAAATCTCACAAAACTTAAAGGTAATTTATACTCTAAATCACTTATATGTCAATTATAATTAGTTTATTTCATTAATTGCATGTTAAAAAGCCCTAGAAAAAAATCGAATTATTCATTAATTACTTAAAAAATATTAATTATTCATTAATCAGTAATTATAATTAGTTTATTTTATTATCATTAATTATTCACTAATTACTTAAAAATTATTAATCAATTATTAGCTAATTATAAATAACTATTTATCAGTAATTATTTATTATTTAATTAATTATCACCAAGTTTAATTCAAATTAAAATTCTTTATTATTTATTAATCATTCATTAATAATCAAATAATAATTAATTAACAAGAAAAAAAAAAAAAGCATTCACGCCCATGTTGGGCGTGAGAACTACTGTTTCACTCCCAATTTGGGCGTGAATCAGTGGTTCTCACGCCCAATATGGGCGTGGATCGTGTTTTTTCGCTTCTAATTTGGGCGTGAAATATGTTATTTCGCACCCGTTTTGGGCGTGAATAAGTAAAAATACGGGTTTTTAAAACCCTAGAGAGAGAAAGCTTTTGAAAATCAAAACCGTATTCGTAAAAATGCTACCGCATTTATCAAGTCCCTATATTAATTTATCCAAATTAATCTCATTATGTAAAATTAAGTTCTCGATACTTAGAATAATTAGTTGAGATGAAATGCTATTTACGGTTACAAAATTGTTATTTGCGGTCTATAACAGACCCCCTCAAAACTTTCCAAAAAAATCCAACAACCCCCAAACTGCAAATAGCAAAAAAAAAAAAAAATTCGAAAATTCGAAATCAAGCTTGAAGAAGGGTTGGGCATCGATTTTTTGATGTAATTTCGACTGTTTCATGTGTAATATGCATTGAGTAGGTCGATTACTGAACCAATTTCATGTTAAAAAGCCCTACAAATCAATTTATAGGGCCTTTGTTTCGTAAAAACATGTTGGAACGCCCAAGATGGGCGCCCAAGGCGTGTACGAATTTTTTTTAATTGAGCGTTCAATTAATAAAAAAAAATTTTTTTGCACTGGACGCCCAACTCGGGCGCCCAAATGCAGCTTGCACGCCCAACTTAGGCGTGCACTGCATGAATGGGCGCCCAAGTTGGGCTTTTACGCGTTTTGGGGGGTTTTTGGATTTTTTTGGGAAGTTTTGGGGTTTTAGAGAGATAACGTGTTTTTTTGTTATAAACCGCAAATAACAAATTTCAAACTGTAAATAACAAGTCCCTTAGTTGAGTAAATAGCAGTTACTCCCTCTATAGTTTGAACTTTATGCACATGACTTTCCTGTACTTTTAATATATCACATGAATCTCTTGTAGTTCAATATAAGCATGTAAACCCTTGTACTTTCAAAAAATTCATTTATGAGCATGATTATTTACCAAGTGGAATATCATAGGGGATTATGTGCTTATATTAAAAGTACAGGGGATTATATACATAAAGTTCAAACTATAGGGAGGTCATGTGCCTATATTGAAAGTACAAGAAGTTCATGTGCACAAAGCTCACACCATAAGGGGTTAAGTGTTAATTCCCTTAATTAATTTTTCCACCCAGCTTTAGGAATATATTCAAATTTTATTATATGTTTGTTCCTCTAAAAAAATGGGTAATTTACACCCCACACTCCTAAGGTATTCTAAAATAACTTTAAGGTCCATGTGTTATTGATAATTACACTCACCCCCTGAAACATTGTCAGAAACTCTAATGGGATAATGCATTTGACACGTTATTCCGATAGGGTTCTACCGGACTATTGATGGAGAAAATAAAGAGCTATGAGTGATTTAATTAATGTTGGGGGAGCCATGTCACCACATAACTCTATGTTGTCTCCATTACTAGCTAAAAGTAATAGTCCGTTAGAACTCTATCGGAGTAACGTATCCAATGCATTATCTCATTAGAGTTTCTAACTATATTTTAGGGGGTAAGGGTGATTATCGTTACTATAGGGACCTTAAAATTATTTAAGCATACCTCGGGGGTGTGAGTGCAATTTATCCAAAAATAAATTAAATGTTTAAAGTATATAAAAAATGGGTCAGAGAATAATTGGTGCACTGTAAGAGAGACGTCATTTTCAGTTTGTACTATTAAAAACAAAGCTGGCCAATGAATATCTGCCACGTGCCAATTGAAACCACGCACATGACCCGTGCTCGTCGGTCGTTGAGATGCTTCATCGGTTCATATACACCACATAATTTTTAACAATTGATGATTCAGTAATCACATACTGAACACACATATACACAGTGTGCGTGATTATATGCAGATCAACGGTTAATAATTGTTCGATATATTTCACCGAATGTAGCATCAAAAAAGCCTTGTGTGTCTAATATCTCCACACACCTCAACGAATTATGCAATTTTACCTTACAAAATAATCAATAAATATAATATGATATTCTTTTAGAAGTTTAAGAAAATATCAATTTAGAGAGAGCACATAAAAAAATATTAATTGAAATTAAAATTCAGAAAGAGAAAAAATTCTTCGTAAATTAAAATTAGAATTTTGAAGTAATAAATTTGAGATATTGAAAGATCGTTGAAAAACAGTATTATTACATATTTATTATTTAATGGCTTGAAGAACATTTTGGAAAGAAAAAATAGTAAAGCAATTAAAAGTCGTACCATTGAATATATTAATTAGTAGAGGGAGCAAATGTTACGTTTATTACATTACCGGGGTAAGTGTTACAGCACATGTACTTTAGGAGTGTAAACTGTACTTAAAACCTTAATTAATGTGAATTCACATACAATTAATAGGAACTTAGACACTTTTTCACGAGTTCGTCCTCGGGTAGGGTGCAATTTTGTGGCAATTTATGTTGATGATCTATCGCATGAAAGGGGCTTCGGTCGAAGTACCAATCCGCAACAGCCTTTCCAATTGTCTGCAAAAGTATAATAATTAAAACTATAGATCACGATATTAAACGTAAACGAAACATATATGTAAGATTATTTAAAATATCAAGAAACATAAATATAACAATTATAAATATATAGTAAATCTTACTTTATTTGCGACCTTAGTTGAGCACGCCCACCCGTCTCTAAGATCGATGTGGCCATGGCGATAGCATGAGTGAACGAACAATCCTCTAGACGAGGATTTGTCGATAACTTTTCGCAGTGTCTTAACAAAGACAGCCCTAAAGTCTGAAATTAATTAAGGTTAATGTTAATTGTTAAGCAATTAGGGGATAATTAATTATTTTTTAACTAATGTTTAAAGTTGCAATAATAATTTGATTACCTTTCATGTAGTGTAATTGAGTTGAATTGCAAAGTGTTAAATTTGTAGTGCAACTATTCCATTGTGTCTTACCACCAAGAACAGGTATCATAAGATCTTCAGTCTGAAAACACATTCAATTCAACAATAAATAAATTAATTATTAAAAAAAAATAAAATTGGAGTCAACATTTAAATTATGTTCATGATTTTCATGAAATTGAGGTTACCTGGAATTTTTCGAAACCTGCTTCGACTACAAAGAGTGGCGTCTGAATATCTCGAATAAAATTCTCAGGGAAAATACACTATAATAATTATACATACATATATATATATAAATTGTCATTAGTATTTAATGGGATTTAATTTACTTGTAATATTGATATAAAAATGATTAATATAATCAACTCTCACCAAGTTGGAATCCATTTTTGACGTGCATTTAGTGGCAAACGTTGG